ATAAAATAATAAAAAGGCCGAGCTTGTGGATGTTTTCAGAGTTGGCCCGCCCTGTTCCCGTGCGCTAGCTACCAGCGAAGTCAAAGCTAGCGGGAGCCCAATGCTCTGTGCATTCCTGACTCGCGCGTGGGCTCGTGCAGTGTCGGCACCGTTACGGGCTCCATGCGCACGCTTGCAGCTTCGGCTGCGCTCGCACCGAAGCTGAAACGAAGTATAGATGAGTTGCACCAAACTCTGTATGTAGTGCTGGTAAAGCCTCATCGTCCTTTTCGGAGAACAAAGCACTGCGCGACTGCGGTGTCTGCTCCGCGGGTGTCGCTTCTCTGCAGCGCGTCGGTGCGTGCCAAGGAGCGCACTCAACGGGTTAACTCGCCGTGATCCGATTGTGACTTCGCCAGCACATCGAAAATGAATCGAAAGTTTTGAAGCGAATATCAGATACCGCAATATTGGAAGCTGCTGCCCGAAAGACAACTCTAATCTGAACTAAAACATTCCACAACAGTGAGGGTCGTTAGATGCTGCTGCAGATACCTTAAAAGAAGTGCAGTCTGATAAAACTAAATATCCTGTACCATCAGAACTCAGTGTGACATATTTAATTGTATTTTTTTTTTATCTGACGAGCAGATAAACTGAATTTTAAAAAAAATGTTTTTTGTGTTTACTTTGTTGAATTTCATATATCCTTTCTTAAAAAGGCGACAGGCGCTGTGTTGCAATAATAGAGATGGGCTTTATATAGCAATGCAGCATTATTTCATCTTCCAAGTAATATGCCAACATATGCCGGACCCTGCTCCAGAAGGGCCACAACCTGCTCCAAAACAACATTTTGCCTGCTACAAGGCCTGCTCCAAAAGGTCAAATTGCACTTCCATCACTGCGCATCCCTATTCGAATCGAACCACTCTTCGCGCACACCTAACGTAAATAGACGACGCACTAAAATAATGGCAGCATAACACCCAAGCGTAATCTGCGAGAGTCCAGTGCACGTGACCCCACTCAAACCAGTGAAAAAAACCTGAAGCAACAATGAACAAACTTTCTTTGTTCTGGAGGAGCCACGCGTCTAGTAGTGCTTTATCTCAGATGGTTCGTAAAATGCTTGTTTGCATTCGCGTACAGTAAACACACTCGTGCAAGGTAGGCACCAGCGCTAAGTAAGCAAATTAATTTAGCTTTTTTTTTAAACGTTTTTTTTTATTTTGTAACTCATCATAGGCGCGTCTAAACTCCACCAGCCGAAAGTAATGCATTATGTTTCAATGCAGACAACTTTTCCACTATCCATAAATATATAATCGACACAAACGTTTCTAAAGCCATCCGTTTCATTTTTATTTTACAGATTTAAGTTTAGGAGTTTTTTTACATCAATACTTGGAGTTTAGTTTTACCCCGCCACCGCGTAAAGCTTATAGCCAGAAGACCATAATGCATTCATGTCCATAGCTGCGAGCAAAGGCTTAGTGTCCCGGGAGTTTGATCAGGGGCTAGAGCCCAATTTTCTTTTTTTTTTTTTTTATAAAAAAAAATGACAAGGTCATTTGAAAGGGAGTTCAAATGCCTGCTTATTCACGGTTTATTTTTTTTTTTTTTTGCATGTACTGCGGTATTAGCACTTTTGTAGTTCAAGAAGCAACATTGTAATCTCTATTGATCCAAACTTCCCCACTTATATTCGCTTTATTTCATTCCAATGCGCTTACATAAAGAAGGTGGGCATTGTGAGCCCTAAGCTTGGAGTGGTATTTCCATTGCCGCAGCTCTCGTCCGGTGGAAGCCATTTTCCGAAGACATGTGGGCTTGGCGGTTTATGGTGTCGCTAACTATTCTAGTTTTCGCTTTAATGAATCTTTCGTGATATCGCACACTTAGTGTCCACGCTTTCGCGGAAAGAGCATTACAGGATTAGCTTGACAAACTATTCCTGGCGACAATCCCACGGTGCGTGTATTCTTCGCGCCATGGAACAGACGTCCGTTAGCGTTCTCCGAAACGCTGTTGTAAGCTCTCTTTCCCGCAGGATAAGCACGTTTCGCAGGGAAGCTCGCTTACCAGACTAAACCACATGAGGTACTGAAAAGAGTTTGTACGTTTATGGCTCTTTCCAAGGGTCATGAAAAAAAAAATAATAAGACGTCTTCATTGCCGACGAGTACTGAAAAGTGGAGGCACGCATATTTGTCCGTAGCGTCAGTTCTTTATCTCTTTGTTTTTTTCCTTTTACGTTTTACGTAATTCAATCGAAGCAATAAACTCATGGAAAACCGCAGTCAGAGTAAGAAGTAGTGCGCTCTGGCTTGTAAAGAGCATTTTATATTAAAGCACATTTTAAAATATTTGCTTCCGACTGTAAGATGTATTAAATTCGACACTAATCTGAGATCAATTTAACCGTCAATCGATTTTTGACGGGTCTTTTTTTAATAGTTTCTAAAACAACTCACCCATCTGAGCTATTCAAACTTGACATTCTCGGCTTCTCAACACAATTCGATGGGTCATTTATGAGTAAATAATACTCGCGGCACGTCGACAGGATGGTTTGTGTAAGATAACCGAAACCGTTAAGGAGAAAACTCATTTGTGGAAAACCACGGGAAAGGCTTCTTCACCCGCAGTTTGGTATCCCTTAAATTTGCTTGTGTCAATCCTGTCGCTCGCTCAAGATCACAATAAAAAAAAATTTAAAAAAAGAAACACGTCTGTAATTACGCGAGTACGCGTAAGAAAAGGCGATATTCTAAGAACCACATAGTTTGACCTCGGTAAACCATAATTTAGACCGCCCTCCACAGACGTTGCTCTCCACGCTAAACGATTCCCTTCAACTCCTCTCGCATGAACCAAGTTTCTCCGCTAGCTTCCCCGCCCCTCCCGCAACCCATAAGCCAAAGACACACATCCAGCCACCGCCGCCTGCTTAACACCTGCGACTTCCTCCCCACGAAGTGCGTAACTCGAAGATGGCCGACTTGGCATTTTGCCCATTTGCAACTGCCGCACGAGCGTGCGTGTGCGAGTTGGTGAGCGAAGTGCGAGCGCCCGCTCCTGCAGTACACGCATAGGCGCGCGACTACGTGTTTGCAGGCAAATCTCCCGGACGATGAAAAGTGGTGTTTACACCCTCCACGATGGCTGTTAGGCGCTGAGAATTAAATTAAAAGCCGGGGGAGGTACGCCGTGCCCGAATTTCCTCCTGGCGGTGGGTCGGCCGGGCGAGACCGAATGAGATTGGGAGGTTACGGTGGCGGCAGCGGCGAGGACGACGACAACGACGACGACGACGACGGGGGTGCTCGAGTACGAAGGGGCGGTGTTTCGGATGAGTCGGCCATATTTCGTGGGTACTTCTCCTCCGAGATGAGACCAGGCGCTTGGCTGGTTTCCGTTCTTTTTTTTTTTTTTTTTCTTTCTCGTTGTGGGTCGAGCTCTGAACGAAGGGGGCCAAGCCTCGGACCGCTTTGGGGAAATGATCGTTGTGGCGTGGGTTTGCGACGGATGCCCAAATGGTCCGACGTACGTCCTGCTTTGGATAGATTCTTTTTTTTTTTTTGGCTGTGCGGTCGTTGCTTTTTGCGTCGCGTCGTTGCCGCTAGATTGCGTTGTGGCACGCGTGTGTGGGAGCGTTTGTGTTCTCGCGCGGCTACGGGGCCATAGAAAACGTCATCGGTATTCTATAGCGCCTTATTTGTATCCTCCTCCGTGGCAAAGACACGATGATGGTCTCTTGCCTACATCTGGGAGTTGAATGCTTACTTTTATTCAGTTTTTTTTTTCCCTATCTTTTCTTACCGTGAGCTAGAAGAAGTAGGAAACAGAGGGAAGATGTTGGGCGTGTTTCGGTTAAACCATGTGGTCCTGGACCAACGGTTCGTATATCTTGACCCATTTCCAGCGTAGTTTGGATTCGGCACGCCACATGCACATCTTACGCCGTGGCCACATGCTCTATGTACATAATGTACTCGGGGCGTTTTTTTCTTTTTTTACTTGTTTATTGATGCTTTTTTGGTCGAGTTTCTGTAAAACAAAATCTCGTTTATCGTGACGTTGTTCAACTGGGTGGAAATCACTATGCCAAAAATGCATTAGAAAAGCTAAATTAAAAAAGGTATGTTAACTTTAAACAGTGGTTGTAGGGTTTTTCACATTGATTCTGCATCACTGCATTATGACGACGGTTTTTCTTTTCTTCGGCAGGATGGCGGATGCGTGACAACAAAATGTTCAAATCACGCTACCATTTTTTTTTCTACTTTTTATGAAAATATTTAATTTCGTTTTGGAAAGCATTGCCTCTGGCACTTCTCTCTAAGTGCTTTGTAGAAGCTAAGTGGTCATCGAGTGGCGAGCACACAAACGGCACGGCACGGTGGATATTAGAATTACTATATTTTTCTACCGTCTGGGTTTCTTTATTTCTCTTTCCTTCTTTCATAGATAAAAGACAGTTCGACCAATCGAAAATTATTGTAAGTGTATTTTTGCGGTTGCTTCATAAGTGAAAAGGGGTCCAGACACCACCCACTCCTAGAATCATATCAGTAGTAACAGTACTGCAGAACACTCATGCGGGACAAGCCTATGTCGACAAGAGGGTGCTCAAAGAATAACAACATTGAATGACCGCGCTTGAAACCTGCGTGGCTTTGATCTTCGTGTTGAAGAGAAAAAATTGGGTTGTGTGTTTGTTTATACAGCCTAGAACTTGGTCTGCCTCAACGGGCGACGAGCCTCCCAGCTGTAGATGAGAAATTTAGCCAGTGCAGTAGAACCTCTAGCCTGGGGTCTTTGACGTGCACCACGCAGTAGTGATACACGGCCTCGCGCTTCATTGCTTGTTCTTCATTTAGCTTAATTGTGTTGTTCGTTGGTCACGTCTGTACTGCCAGACATACTTGAAATTGTATTGTCCTTAATTTTAATTTCAGAGGTTTAGCGAAAATACAGAAAAAAGAATGAAGTATAAAACAAATAAAATGACTCACCAGGAGGTCTTGGCGTCGGGGGCACCTGCACGTTTCCAACTGCAAATCCGTATCCGTCTGCGTTAAAAGAAATAAAAGTGAAAAAAAGACCTAATTACGGAGCCGGGATAGCGTACACTACATTAGCCAGCTCATGACCGTCCTACGGGTAGTACTCGATGTCATCGCATCCAGCATTTGTCGTAATCAAATAACGAAACCAGTCAAAAAGAAAGTATCGTTTCATGAACATGTGGAAAAGGGACGCAATATGGGTCAGCATATCATAGTCTTAACAGCTTTAACATCAACCTAAATTTTAGCGAATAGAGCAGATTTGTTTCGAAGTTATTGTTTTATCGAGTCGCATTTTTAGGGGACGGGCTTGTTTTTTGCTTATTGGGAGAAAGCGAACCGGCGGAGCATTCACTTGGCTTGCAAACATGTTCTTGAACGTTCTAGCTCTTATCCGCAGGCATAAAAAAAATACTAAAAATTTACTTTCAATTTTTTTTTAGCATGAATATTTTTGCTCGTGTATTTCCGCGGACAATATTAGATGAAACAATCGATACAGCCATTTTTCTGCAGCTGCAGTTTCCAAAATCTCTATTATCTTTAAATGTATTCAAGAGTCCGAAGTACGGGACCTGAATTTCGCACTCCATTCCTTGTTCAAACCAAAACACTCTCTCTCAAAAAAAAAAAAAAAAGGAAAGTATTTTAAAGAAGCACGAAAGACTATTGCAGCTCATTATGGGCGATTGCACAAATCCAGTATGGGTATGAGGACGGGATAGCTGTGCGCGTATCAAGTCTTGTTCTTCCACAACCGTAGTCCGTAGCCTACCGGAATACAGAACGTTGTCTGCGTGGATGAACAAAGACTATGTAACTCTTTCAGTTTAAACAAACAAAAAAATAATCAAGAAGGATTTTTGTTTCTTCTTTCTATTTAAGATCAAACACACGCAAAAACACTTGTCAAGAAGTGTTTTTCTTCTTTTCTGTTATAGGTTTCGGGCTGGAGTTTAGAACTATGGATTATGGTCATTTGATGCCACCCTATAGGACCGGACCAAACTTACGTGGTGGCCTGGAGAAAGCTGGCCAGGTCGGCGGTGCAGGCCGGGCCGGATCTGCGAGGGAGAATGTTATGCCCACGGTGGGATCTCATTCCGTACTGCACAATCTTTGACAGTTTAAGAAACGTAAACTTATTATGTGCACGTTTCTTGAGGCTCGTTCGCCAACTTGCGACTGCTTACAACAGTGTGCGTTGCGACCTCTTGTGATCTTTCGCGACGAGAGAGAGAACACACACTTGCGCCATCTTTGGGGTAGCCGCGGAACACTTGCAATTGGCGTATATTTTCTATTTCTTTCGTGCATCCTTATTTCACGGTTGGCTTTAGAAGAAAAAAAAATTTGACGACGTTATAAATGGCCATTTCTTGTAGATAGCATGCTCATTTGAGCTCACAAATACTACTAGCTTCGCTCTAGATAGTGAAATACAGTTCCAGGGACACCTCATAGATGGCGCAAGCGTGCCCGTGTGATCTCTCGTCGTAAGAGGTCACAACAGATCATAATGCGCTCGGACGTAACAAGTGGCAAACGCGTGAACCAGTCTTTACTTCATTATTTTGTCTGTGTTCTTATCGATTAATACAGCAATCTAATTGGTTGTGGAGCGGTAGCAAAATACTAGGAAGTCTCCACGCCAGGCGTTTATTGAATTGTCAGTGACTATGGTATTAACGAAATTCATATCTTTCCGGTTCGCTTACATTTCTGTTGAGTTGGAGGTTGAGGACGACGATCGAAAAACCCCGGTGCTTCTGTTGAAAAAGGAAGTTATTTTTTAGATCCAGCTGTAGAGCTTACTTAAAAATATTAGTTTTTTTTTCTAATTTAAAAGTTATTTTCACGCGAACACACAACGAGTAGTCTAGAAATGTCTTTTAAAATGGCATCCTAGTTGATTTTTCATTTCAGTCGAAATACACAAAGAAGTGGAGACGTTCATTACGCGTTTGCAGGGTGCAATGAGTTATGTAGACTTTTTTAAATAAATAAGAAGAAAAGTCGGCCTTTCATTTTGACGTTTTCAAGATGATAACTTGGACCTGTCAATAACACTCCCAGCTGCTTCCTCACTTCTATGGCTGCATTTCATTCTTGCGGTTCAACACCCGCATTTATATATGTGTATGTTTTACCATAGTTTGAAGGCGTAGGGCAAAACTGAAAAAAAAAAAAAATAACCTTGATGGGATGCAAATTTTTCGTTTAATATGAAAATTTATCAGCAAAAATATTCTGACTTAAAATTTATTTATTTATGTATTTATTTAAATGCCTTTAAAGGCTCTAGAGGGGCATTGCATAGAGGGCGGTTACACGTAACGTTTACATAGTCGCACAATGTTGTTAAAAAGAAAAACAAATAGAAACATGGACACAGAATCACGCTAAACTGAACTCAACGAAGAATAGCATGGCTCATGGTCACCGACACAGGCATCTCAGTCATGCAAACATAAAAAGAAAAAGAAAGGAAAAAGTACAGGTGCTGCTCAAGAACTAAAAAAATAAACACAAGGTGATTGTGACGGCATTGATTCACGCAATATTGCTGCAAACGTGTCATGGTTTCTGGTGAGAGCGATTTCGCCCATTACAGTCGGCAGTAGCCAGCAGTAGAGGGGATAATTTATACGGGTTAGCTCTGGCGAAGGGAATATGGACTTTGTTAGGGTGATCATGACGAGGAAAAATACAATTGGATGGGGTTACGTTGTTTTCGCGAAATTTAGTTGATGTGTGATAGATTATATGGAAGTCGCATAGCCTAGCAAGATACCTTCTCTGCTGGAGCGTTAATAATCCTATTGACGTTTTAAGTTGAGTAACGCTTACAGGTGTATAATTTTTTAGTATGAACCGAGCTGCCCTGTTTTGGATTCCAATTCAAAACACGATGACTGGACTGTGCAGGCGTGAAGATATCGGTGGCATATTTGAGCGCAATATTCCTTCGCACATTTCTTCGAGTGTTTGTATCGGTACTTTCATAAAATTATGCTCGTTGGTTGTCTTTTGTTTGGCGTCTAAAGGCCTCGTGAATAAACAAGAATAAACAAGCAACTAAGACTGCTCGCGAACGTGTTAAGATCATACAATCTAGTGGCATCATGAGATCTCTGTGAATATACGCTGACTTATCCTTTTAAAAGCTTCCGTAGTGTCACCTGAAATTTCCTCTAGAAAGCTGCCTTCGTTAATACAGTACAGATTTTGATATTTGCAGCTCTAGTAGGTAGCTTCTCTGAAAATATGCCATAAACATGTTTCGCCCACAACCTACCGGATTTGCTGAGAAAGGTTTGAATGTAATCTTTCCCACCTGCGCTGATAGCCACTAGGTGTTGTTCACTTACTTGTCGAGGACGATGGAACTTGCGGCACCGGCACCGGTTCGCGTCCTCCACCGTACGGTCCTAAAAAAAAAAAAAAGTTGCAACTTATGTTTGATATCTCTTGAATTAACACTCTACGCTTTCACTAAGAAAATAGCGTACAGGTTTCATTGTTGTTAAACCGTTGTTGAGGTATTGGTTCTTCTTTCAGAAACCTAGGCATTCTGACATCTCAAGCCTTTCTACCGCTCTGTTTGATTCTTTGGTATACTCTAGAAAAAGACCAGTAAATCATTTGAGAGAGCCTTAGGCTTAAAAGAATTAATCTGTGACGCTCAGAAGAACGTAAGAACGCGAAACGTCATGCCCGGTTTCACAGTGCAGGCTGTAGTTTGAGCTCTAGGCATGTTTTTAGTCGACAATTGCCGAGCTCCCCCCGAAGACTCTGGGGATTGGCTCACCCAAGGGCTTTGCGGGCATGAAGGCGCACAAGATTTCTTAAAATGAAGTCACAGGCCACAATTTTTTTTTTTTGCTGTTGTTGTTTTTTGTGTTACAGTGGCGCTGGCGTGCGCAATTTTAATGTGGTTGAGATATCAATACCAACAATCGAATGCTTGAATAGAACTCACGTGGAGTAAGTGGCACTCTTGGTGGTATTTGAGGCCTTTCTTGTGTCATCGATGCCACATCTGTGAACATGGCGGTTGAGTGAGCATGAGAGAAGGGGAGATCATGTTACGAGTTGGGAATGTTGCCTGCTTACACATTGACGCTATTCTTAAATTAAAAATAAGGTCATTCTAGGATATGTGTCAATGAGAAAAACGGCATAATAATCTCGCCAAGAATACAAAAAAAAAATTGTCATTAGAAAAAACGAATTTGGTGTACATATTTTGATCACGCTTCAAATGCTTTCACACCTTCACCGTTTACTAAGTTAGTGGAAACGGTAGGTTCAGAAAAGCTAACACCAAGCAGGAAGAAAAAGGAATAAGCGCAAGGCAAGAAATCGTATTCGTCTCTCTGCCCTTCTGCCTAGTCTTACTACACCATAATTTCAGGTTTGCATATATTTGAGTCTTTGTTTCTGTAAACGTTTGATAGTAACTTTTATTTTCCGGTAATACTTCACCGAGGGAACAGGGGAAAAGGCCATTAGTTCTCAAACAATCTGTTCTATAATTGTATGTGACTGGTTTTTACTTATGCCCCAAGACCCAAATAACAATAAATTGTTTCCTTTGGGATTTAAAAAGTTTTGTATATTTTAAAGCCGAAATTCCGTGTGGTACCTTAAATTTTCTGATTTTTGTTTTTCTAAGCATGTTACAAACACTTTCGGTGATTCGAATCATAATTTTTATCAAATTTGTATTTTATATATTCTGCCCGATAGTAAAATCTTTAAAAAAAAATTTCATGCTCAGTAAATAAAAAAGAAAAGAAAAAGGTTGTTCCTGGTATCATGCATTACTTTGTCTCGAGGCTTTATAACTAGGAATAGTCGCCAGCCGGCTCGATTTTTAAACGTCCTTGGAATTAATTGAATCGCCGCCGGTAACCTATGTGACGCACTAACTGGTTACCAATGTTAGTAAAAATGCGTCGCCTCCCCCTTGCTTAGGTGCACACTCTGAACAGAGGCAATGTTGACTACAGTCGCGTAACGGGTAACACATAAAACTCTCGAAAACACTTTCTGTTTTCGTCATTCATACGTGCCATCGTCATCTATAAATAGAAGCATCTAAATATCGAGGAACCAGGTTGGTTGCCTCGGTTTTTGTACGAGAGCTTTCGTTTCTACGGCGTTGCGTTGCATACGTTATTCACAATATTAAGATAAGTAAAGTTTTTTTTTTCGTTTTTTAGACATATTACTGCTTTTGACATTGGTTGAACAAATTTTGCGGCTCGGTAAAACCCTAAAGACCACCGACCAGTTCGTGCTTTTCACTTGTCCCCTGTTTCCTCCTCTCCCCCTTCTACTCTGTCCACCTCTGCCTGTTTCCTCCTTCCCCATGGTGAGGAGGATCTTCTGCCTTGCAGAATCTCGAATCTGGTCGTCTGCCTTTTTTAAGGCGCAGTCGCACTGTTTTTAATTCGCACAAAAGACACAGTGTTCGCTGCAGGCATAATGACAGCATTGTCTGGAGACATGCCCCAAGCAGGTTCGCTGGATACATTTGTACGCTTCGAGCACGCATCAGACAGTGTCTGCATTCTGTCTTTTGCGTGATGCAATGGCAGCGTGACCGAGGCTTTTTAGGCTTTTCCCACGCGGGACGGAAAGAGACACCTGCCTATTCGAGGAGGAAAAACCTTGCGTTCCAGTAGTCGCCGCCGGTCTGTATCTGTAGGGGATGAAAAAACATTTAATCGTTAAGGCTTTCTCGGCTGCATCGTGTCCCACTAGCGGTCAGTCTCGAGTTAAGAAACAATCTCGAGTGCGCGAACTATTTCGGTCGCTTTGTGTCTCTTCCGAGTCGACGCTACAGTGCCGCCGGCTTCCTTCGTGTTTTCTAGAGTAAACAAGCTTAAGAAACCATGGGCGTGTCTGAATGCGGAGCGCAAGGTCGTCTGCTTCTTTTTCAAAGAAGGGGGGGGGGGGGGGTCGTGGTGACGTCAGAACGACACTGAGCTCTGATTGGCTCTGATTGAAGGATGGTCAGTAGACCTTTAAAGCAAGCTGCTTCTAGACCTAGCCACTGTCCTTCGATCGGAGCCAGTCAGAGCTCTGCGTTCTGACGTCACCACAACCCCGGCAAAAAGAAGCAGACGAACTTGCGCTCCGCATATGTTCGTGTTTCTCGCTTCGTGATTGGTTGCTCGGAATTTTTTTCTGGCTAAAATCTGCAATCTTATTGGCTGATAATAAGGCGCTCCGGCCTCGCCCCGCCTTTCGTTTCTTAAGCTGTCAGTCACCGTAGAAGCAAAGATCGGTACACCGAGATAACTGAAGCGTATATTGACCTTGCAGCTAAAGTGCTCGACTGAAGCCATAATTTATCAATCTCCACAATCCTTTCCCTCTCGCCTCAGGGACACCAACCCGTAGACGAGTGAATATTTCATTTAATAAATACATTTTCTATCTCTCTTTATGAGCGCACCAGAAAGACGCGCGAACGCACACACGTTCCACACACGGACGTTTTATATGTGTGTGTGTGTTTTGAGTACAAATCACTGTGAATCCCGAATGTGCTCGATATGATCCCGGCTTTTTTTTATGTTAGCTCGTTTTATCAGCCCGTCGACCGGGTGAAGAAACTGACGACCGATCAGCGTTGATTTGAGCACAGTTTTGAGCTATGAAGCGATGATATAGTTATCCAATGAACGTCTCTACCTAAACATAGACCAATTCGCCGATCATGTATGAAACGAAGTATAAAAAAAAATGCAGTGGACGCTAAACAAGTGGCTGTTGTGCATCGTCTTTTTAATGTGGTAGTTGAGACGTGCTAGACCAGGTGCCAAATGTCTCTCATCTGCGAATGAAATATAAAAACAAAAAAAAGAAGCCACCACAATAGAGTCAAAAACATTATTGGGGGGGAGCGGGGGAGGGGGGGTGCGGTCGCTATATATTTTCACAGCAATTCGAATGTAAAGCTTTCAACGCATCTATCGTTATGATATCCTTAAATAATGTTTTACTTTTTTTGTAAGCTTAGTAGGGCTTTTTATTTCTAACGTAAGACGCAAAGCCGAGCGTCTTTATAGGTCTACACGAAGTTCACACGAAGTGCGCTCAAACTTAATTCTATACATTGTCGTATGGCACGCAATTAGAATTATAAAGCCGGAATTACTTTATTTTTCTTTATTTTCAGGGGTAAACATTTAGTAACAAGAAATGAGAAAGGAAAAAAAAGGGAAGAAAGAGGGAAAAAATAATAAGACAAAAAGAAGTTAGGGTCATTGTTAGTCGGGAACTAGATGGGCGTCTTTTCACCGCCCGACCTCTCAGCTCAAGTGAATCCACACGGATTTCCGAAACACTTATAGGGATTCGTCGGTGGCCCCTCGAAGAGGTCGTCATTTCGAAGACTCGGTTTCTAAAGTCCGACCTGCAATTGGAAACGCCATAGAGGGAAATTCCTTCCTTTTCCAACGGCCACAGGCCAGTGAGCAGAATTTAAGGACTCTTCAATTAGTCCTACCTCCATTTCGGTCCAGTGGTGTATATCTGGTCCCCGCTAAGTTCCTGAGGTCTTATGAAGGGAGTTTCTTTCCCTTCCCGTTGGCGAGCGGGAGACGAAATAGGGAAACATTTCCGGTCCTGCACTCTATCCAGTGTGTCTACTTCCCCGCAAAGCCCAGGGATGAGTCAGTCGCTACAATCTACTGAGAGAGCTCGGCCAATGACGAGGATAAGAATATGTTTAGATTTTAAGAGAACAGTGTGGGTTGTGACACCGACTATGACGTAAGCACGTGCTTACGTCATGAGCTAGCTCCGTCCGTAGATTGTAGGGATGGACTCTCCTAAGTGCTTTGCGGCAAAGGAGACGCGCCAGATTTCTTGGAGTGATGTTGGAGGCTGTTTTCGGAATCGGCCTTTGGGGACGGCAACAGGGGCGCGGCGACCTCTCCGCTCACCGGGGTACGTGGCTTTGAGAGTGTTCGGCTTCTCCTTGTAGTTCCCTAGCGGATTCGTGTCGGGGTCGAGCACCTGTGGTTTGGCCTCCACGTTGACGGACGGCTCTGTGGAGCGATGGCGAACCAAAGGCTAGAGCATTTCTCACAAATCCTTGTCGCTCTTAAGGTGCGGTATCTTACAGTTGGACTCCTGTTGAAGTCTGTAGAGATTCCCTTTTTAAGGAACTTTTTTTTTTTTCGTATCCAAAATAGTGTTATTATGTTAGGTATATGCCGACGAGATGCTAAATGTCCAATATCTTTTCTAGTGGCCCCACGAAGAGTGGAATTGTTTTTGTAGACGTAAATCAAAATCGTAAATTGATTTTTTCATCTTTTTTTAGCGTTGAAGAGCAAATCTATGAGTGTATTTGTCGGCCATCGCAGAGAAGTCATAGTAGATTAAACACATTGATTCAGATCTGCGTAAGCACGTCGGTGCTTCCAGGTATTTAGGCGGTCCTATTATCTTAAATGTGTCTTCTACAGAAGGTGAAGAATTGTGTTCAATTCTATTTTAGATCGAAAAAGGCTTTAACTTACTTTTCGCCACGCGCGAAAATCAAACCCAACTGGGTGTGTTTTCTGTTCCATCCATTAATAAAGGACGAACACTGCAGGGCTGCGTTACGTTGGATGCGTTATACTATGTATACTGAAGAGCTGGTGGTAGTGCAAGACGCACTTACTGGATAACACCACTGTCAGTGAAGAAACGTACTAAGATGAATTTATGTTTTAATGCTTCATGTGTACGCTCATGGCTAAACCGACGCACACATATATACAAAGGGTTATAATCCTCAACCTGTTAAATCGGGGGCCATTTTGTTTGCTGTTACGATATTAGTTTTGTAGGGTTAGAAGAAAAATATAGTGCGGACAACCATTCGATGGGTTGACGACTTGCGGCTTCGCGGCAACGTTGTAGGTCGGATCTGGAAAAGGTGCGCAGGTTCGGTCTGTAATTTTCGATGTTGCTTGATTCCTAACAAATTATATAAAGTTCGATAGAAATAACACGCTCAGTCTTAGTCAAAAATATATATGTATACCCTTATGAATCTTTAAACTAAACTGGAGCTAAAACCGTGTTTAAAACAATCTCTTGTATATATTAATGACAATCAACAATCAAGCAGTCTAAAACCGTGTTTAAAACAATTTCTTGTATATATTAATGATCTCCCCCTTTCGCTGTCCTCTACGGTCCGCCTGTTTGCCGATGACTGCGTAATTTACAGGCCCATAGCTAACACAAATCATTCACTTAATCTGCAGACTGATCTTGACCGAATTAATGAATGGTGTTCAAAGTGGCAAATGCTCTTAAATGCTTCCAAATCTAAATCCCTCTCTTTTTTTCGAACCCGTCAACACCTTCAAGCTTTTTACTCTATTGGTAACCTCAATGTTGATGCCGTCTCAACTTACAAATATCTTGGCGTTCACTTCACTCACGACCTCTCCTGGAAGACTCATATTAACAACATCATTTCCGATTCAAACCGCACTCTTGGTTTTTTACGCCGCAATCTTCGTCTCGCGTCCTCATCTGTCAAACGCCTCGCATACGTCACATTAGTACGCCCAAAGTTAGAATATGCATCATCAGTCTGGGACCCTCATCTCAAATTCCTTACATCGGACATAGAATCACTTCAGAACCGTGCAGCTCGCTTTATAACGTCTCAGTACTCCAGGTTTGTCAGCGTAACTGAACTTAAACAAAACTTATCTTTGACTCCTTTATGTTCACGCAGGCGTATTGCTAAACTATGTCTTTTTTACAGGTTTTACTACGATGACCAGCTACATAGCTCATTCATCTTGCCACCTCATCGCATATCTCCTCGTGTTGATCACCCTGCAAAAGTTGGCCTTCTCTTTACCCGAAACACAGCATTCTTTAAATCTTTTTTCCCGGCGACATCTGTGCACTGGAACGGCCTGCCTGAAATCATCGTCTCCACCCAAGACATCGGCTCATTCCGCGAGTTGTTATCATCACATCTCCTATAACCCCACTCCCTTATGTAATACCCTAACTCCAGGGTTCTTAAGGTATTTAAATAAATAAATAAATAAATGATGTTTAGACGTTGCTTTGCTGCATCATTTTTTCATAGTTTTTGTAGCTACTCTTTGCTTATTACTTGATGTCTTCACCTCATGCCAAGAGTTCACTCATAAATGATTAGTTTCCTTCGTCTCCTTTCCAAGAAAAGTTCACAAGGCGCTTCTGGAAATTGATTATGACGCTTGAGGCGAAGGAATAGCCCAATTCCAGGATCGTTGCGTTTATAATGGAGACTTTTAGCAAATCGTTACCGTGTTCCGCGAACCACACAACCTGAGCATTTGAAGCATGCTTCAAAGGCTCCCGTAGAGCGGTACGTGGAACACGCTAACGGTTTGCTAAAAGTCCCTATTATCGAGCAACGCGACTAACCGGGAACGCCGACAGTCTGCGTACCTCGAGAGGGGCCAAACAAGACCTGTGGCCTTGCGGCGAGGTTGATCGTTGGGTTTTGAATCACGTCCACCACGTGAGGCTTCGAGAGCACGTGAACTGGGGGTTCTGAAACGGGTCGTTGCGCGTCGACTCACACCACAGGTAGGAAAAAGTATATCGATAAGAATGAGCTAGAAATCCAACTTAGCGACCTCTTGTTCTACAGCGCTTGCCAAGGATTCATATCGTGCACATTCAGTACTCGCTATGGTTCGTACCAGAACAGACTTATCGTGGTACATTCCTGTACGAATGGCACTCGGCGTGTCAGTTCTTTAAAGATTCGGGAATAGACAACGTTGCATAAGTATTGGAATCAATGACAGAAAATCCCACTGAGCGGCACGCACTGCAATAAGACCAAAATATTAATCTCTTCTTAAACATTGATATAAACATATATCTATTACCATCTTCTATAACACTATATATTATTTGTGCAAATACAGGTTTGGTAAAGCTCACGGAGTAGAAGTTCTGCTTTCTTTATTTTATTTAGATGTGCACCATTTTCCGTTGTTTATTTGTCCTGTTGTCGTAGCTTTACCACGTAGCTTTCTTACCGTTCATTGACTTTTCATTCGGTGTGACGTTTTCTTTCTCCCTTTTGTATTCTATAAAAAGCTGTTCCATTTCTTATGTACTATCGGGGAAAAATGAAATGCGAACAGAGGAGCGCGTGGCTCGCGGTACAGGCTGCGCCGCCTGGAAGTGAGCCTAGGAGCGAGGGTGCGTGGCCTACTCCGACGTGTTCACGCCCCTCCCTCTGCGCTCCCCAAGCTTCAGCAGTGCTCCTCTTAGTGCGCTGAAAGCTATCACTGCTATCTTTGCTGGCTCAGCGCGTGCGGTGCAAAGAAGCTCGCCGCACTCGCCGAGCAGGCAAAGATAGCGGTGACAGCTTTCAGCGCACTGAGAGGCGCGCTGCCGAAGCTGGGGGAGCGCCAATCGAAGGGCGTGAACACATCGAAGTAGGCCACGCACCCTCGCCCCTAGGTTCACTTCCAGGCGGCGCAGCCTGTACCGCGAGCCACGCACTCCTCTGTTCGCATTTCGTTTTTCCCCGATAGTACATTCGATTCAACGTGCCTCTAATTCCAAATGTCATTCGAAAAATAGCGAACCTTATTCTTCACACCGCGAAAATAGATTTCCTAGGACTCTACCCGAGTGTAGAGCTAGCGGTACGGATATATACGGTACCAAACTGTTAAGAACTCAACGCCATCTTAATCAACATTCAGCCGCAGCTATCGAAACTTTTCAGTAAGAACGTGGCAGCTAACAGAATGCCAGTTTCTTACTGAAAATTCGCAGAAATTACTCAAATATATATTTTTTTAAATTTCTTCCAGATTTTTTGGTATTTTATTCTAACCGCCTACCGGCTACATTCTGCACTCTAAAAATATACCTAGGTGCATCTCCTTTCCCGTTAAATACTTAGGTGTTCTTGCAATCTACAGAAAGCGAACTCGGCAAATGACAGAAATGAAAATATTAAGAAAACAATGTTTGCGCTCTGGCACTGACCATGAGTTAAGGGCGCCAAACATCGTGTTCAGTGTCGCAGCTCAGACGGCACTTTTTAGTTGTCAACATATTTTAAGCGTCTTGATTTGCCCTAGGTTGCAGCAATTTACTATTCCAAGTACTTTGCGGGAAAGTAGAGGCACCGGGTTTCTTAGTGATATCGGTATCGGTAACGAACTTTAAAAAACATTAGTTTCTGCCAACTTTCTTGATTCAGTGACAAATAGAGAGAATGAGAGACTTGGAGAGAGCTGCTACAGACGCGTCAAATTGAGCAGCGGCGTATGAATACATCGTTTTTTATTGAGGAAGAAGTGCGCGTCTTACTCGGGGAGCTGACCGTCTGGGGAAGCTGATACCTCGTGGGTGCTTCCTGCAAAGAGCCTGCGAAAGTTCCGGTAGAGAATGTCAGTGGAGGCGGTGAGCTCCGATGTTCCCCGCCTCGCTTATTCGTAGTTAATCCGACGGAGGGACAGGATTTCCCCGGGGCGACGCGATAAGGCGGACCCACCTGCATTTGCTGTGTTGACGACTTGAGGTTTCTCGGGCAGATTTGACTGGGGATCTTTGGGAAAACATAAAAAAGAAAACGACTACATTAGCGAACTTAACTAAAATGTAACTGCTGGAACAGCGCGTGAATGCTTGTAAGGTACCAAAATGATATAATTTACTTTTCTTGCAAAATGGAATTTGTTTATCTAACGCTTTCAAGGTTAAGATTACTGACCACATCATGGCTCTAGCCGAGTGCTTTAAATACTAAGTTCTATGCGAGATTATTGCCCCAAACTATATACGCTAAAATGTTGTGTAATTTTTTTTTATTTAAATTATTTAGACTGGCGCATTATATGTCTAACGTGTCGAGAAAACGCTCACCTTGTGATATGGGGTTCACGACGTGAGGCTTTTCATCCAACTTCATGAAGCGGTCGGGATGCCGCACAAGGTCTTCAGACTTTGAATCCATAGAAGACGACGCATCTGAGGTACATCGAAGATATATAATCCCCATCACTGAGCCACGAGCAGTAAGTTACGGTTAGAATTTATGCTGTAGAATCGACGGTAAATCAGATACGAAGCTATTTACCGCAATATAGTGCCACAGCAGCATAAACAAGAAACCACGAACTTGTGCCCTGTATGTACTACAACCATCCCGTTAACCGTTGTTGTCCAGCTTTCAGGTGCACAGTGTTGAAAAATACATAATCTCGGTTTTGAGCTGCGATCCTTGAGCTGTGGTACCGGTCCTTTTCTGCAATGCGTTCCCTCAAAGCATATCCGTCTACTTTCCCGCAGAACTCGCCGAAAGGTAACCAAGGCGCAAAGTGGTATGGCAAAAGCGAACTGTGCAGTGTCATTGAACGAGCGAAACGTGAAACTCATTTTTACTGCGTAGGTTGTGATTTTGAGCGGAACTGTTATTTTCGCCTCTTATATGCTGGACCTGTTCCGCGGTTCGCGTTTGATTGATACGCATGCACTCTGCGAGAAAATAGGCCCGCAGACGTTGTTTGTTTAGGTGCTCAGCATTTAGTAAGCCTGATAAGTGAAACCTGATGAGCGTGGCCGCGAAGCTCGATGCTGATTGGTTAACGGCGGATGTCACGTGATCAGAGGGGTAGGCGAGGAGGAGCTCGACCACCTATGCGCACTGCGGGAGAGGAGCTTGAGAGTATGGAAGGCTCTAGAAGATCGCTAGGTTTATCAGCTCTGCACACGTGAAACTCGGAGTGTCGCTAAACGTTTGTGAGGCTAGAACGTTTCACGCATGCAACACAATTACCTAGCAATTTGCCATAAAGCTTTTGAAAAACTGTGAAGAACGTCGCATTTCTATTTTTTTTTTCACATTACTTTAGAAAATGTTATTAGCACTACGTCTGTCACAAGCACTACGAAATTACAACCGTCTGTAACAAAGAGTCCAACTAGAGTCACTGAATTATCTACGCTTAGGGTACCAGCACCCGTTCCCCGATTACCTTATAGGCGTTGCCATTTCGGTGCTCGGTGCAATACGGAAACAATACATGGCTTGCACGTGATGTCATCCAAAGAGTGCTCCGATAGCCACCAGAGAAGAGAGGAAGAAGGAGCTTTTCTCTTACAAGGACCTTCTTTTGTGTCTCCCAGATTTTCACAGACGTCGCTATTTTGACAGAAGGTTATAGAAGATTAACCCGTCACTCAAAATTCTTACAAAAGCAGCTTCCCTCTCTATCTCTTACATGGTGGACAAAAATACGCAATGTGACGTCGGTGCAAGCCATCTGTTGGGCGATCGTTAGAATTCAAAATGCAACTTTCTGAGTTTTAGATGTGCTGTCATGAAGCTCAGGTTATATATTGTTTTGCTCTGTCGCCGGCTATCTTAAGATTCCGTGAAGACGGCAAACCGTTTCCTTGCGATTTTAGGAAAACTTTAGAAAACTGGCGCCAAGATGGATGAAGTCATCACTGAGAAGCATAGATTTTTTTTTAGTAAGGTTTAACATTGTACATCGCAATAAACGGGCCTTGTCACTTTTAATCGAGTGAATTTTCTCCTAAAAATATCCAGGTACTGACGACCGGCTTGCTTTTGGATCTTTTTTTCTTTTCTTTTTTTTTATTTCGATTACGAAAATAAGAAACATTAGAGGTACCTCTGCTGGCTGCATCAAGTGTAGAATCCGCCTTGAGGTGCGCCAAGGTGCTTGATGCTGTGTCCGCGTTGTAGACCGGCGATTTGGCGGACGCTTTGATGGCTGCGCCTGTCGCGAGGTAGACGTCAAGAAGACCTACTTTATATAATTATTGATTATTCCCGTTGCAGCAGTTTGTATCAGGATGTGACAACCAATTGTAGCGAACGCAAATTGGGACAGTTCTCTTACTTGAGAAGTGTGACGGAACCTGCGGCCGTTCTGCAAGATGAAACTGGGGGTCTGTAAGGGGCACATGAAAAGCAAATACAGGATCCTGAAGAACGGCCTGATTAGAATGGTGAACTCTAAATACCTCTCAAATACTTTTCTTTTTTTTTCTTTTTTTTTTTGCAATATATTTGTCGGGCAGGGATAGAAGACCGCAAATGATCTTATGTAATTCGAGAAGCCTCGAATCGCTAAACTTGTAAAAGTTTAACCATCTAAACGGTATTAGCGCACACGTAGAGAGAAGAGGGATGATACAGGATAGAGGCACTTGTAAGTTGTGAGTAGCGCTCTATCTTGTATCATCTCTCTTCTCTCTACGTGTGCGCTAATACCGTTTAGATGTTTAATTACCAACTAGCTCAATTATCTACCCTTTTACTGTAAATGTTTATGTTATTTCTGGTACCAAGAGAACCCCATAAATGCACATTCGTAAAAGATGGCACTGTAATAGAAACAAAGCACGACAAGTTACAATGGCATATTATTCTACCTAGAAATGGAAATAGAATAATATTGTCATAACAACATAGTCTGCTTCCCTTAGGTCGTACAGAACTGAAGTTTTGCCAGCAGAGGTATTGTTCTCTCGGTAAAAGCGTTTCTTGGCACCACGTGAGTAATCAAATTTCACGTAGACTCGGATGTGTCAAATGTTCGAAGAACTGAGATTATTCATATCACAATGTTTAAAAAGACCTACATAAAAAAGCACAATAAATATCCCCTCTTTTCTAGAGCCACGAAAGCAGGAGGAAATTAATTCAAAAATTTGAAAAAGGTTCGCAAGAAACATTATGGTATCAAACGAGGGCAGGAGAACCGCGCTCCTAAAAGCTATCCTTGAGAGAAGCGCGTGTTGGTTTAGATGATGGGTGAAGAAAGAATGAACAATTAACACTGGGACAACGCAACCACATCCTCAATTCTCACTGAGATTCTATTTTTGTGTCCGTGCGTACTTTTGAAGCAAGCAAACGCGCCAGTACGCTTTTTCAGGTAGAAATAATTTAGATAAGTTTCCAAAAGTAACGAAAAATCGGTTTCCTACCAAAATACCCTGAGTTGAAAATTAACTGGCATTGCAGTTGTTTAGCATCTAATAAAGGGGCAGTTTCATGGACGTTGTGTTCATCCATTAACTTCAAAAATTCGCCAATTAGCAGGCCCCCTCTAAAACGCCAATCACTAATCAAAATACTTGAGAGCAGGCCGCATATTCCAGGAAAAGCGCGAGCCATATCAATAATTAAGATCCCCCCTATAGGGCTCAATGGTTGTTTCAGTGAAGTCTGCACTCAAATCACGTCTATAACTAGAAAGGTAGGGAGCGAGGGGATGGGGGAAAGGCTGGATGGCGGTATTCATTAAGCAAACCTTTTCAATGTAAGAGCGCTTTTGTGCCAGCCTCTTCGTTCGCTCATAGGATTTTTTTTTTCTCGAGTGGGCTATATATTGGATGGAGAACTGCATCTATTCAAAGAATGATTAAAGTAGTATTCTTTTTAGAGGGAGGGGGGGGGGGGGGGGGGAGTGAAACTCACATCCTCTCACCCCCAAAAAGCTCTTTAAATTTTGAAACTCAAAATAGGCTCATTAATTTGAGTGTGTCGATCGAGGACGCTCACCGGCCCCTCCTGATTCATAGGTGTGTTCTGTCCGGTTGGCAACTGGACCTGAAAGGAAAGAAAAGATGAGTTTTGGTTAGAAAAGATTTAAAAAAAAAGCGTTGCATCTTTATGACAGATATTGACTGTCGCATTAAAAACGCGTTGACAAAAAGGAACACGTTGGCTATTGCCACTTATGATGTTTGGGCTGAACAGCGAGGACGCGCTGTTCACAAGTCACGCCCCATGCGCGCACACGTACACACACGGTGTGGCGTAAAAGAGGCGAAATAAATACCACTGGCTCCAAAGAACTCTATCGTCATATATGAGCTCGGACTTGGTGGGAAACGGAGAATAGCGCGTATCATTGGCGGCTCTTCTGTCTGCTCCTAAGGACGCGTTCGCATGCTCAAACATCGTGCAGAAAACAGTCTGCAGACGTGTCCAAAGCACATAAATGTACGAAGCGAGCAGCCAGTGCACGAGGCTCGTCCGCAGACATTTCCGTCATCGCGTGACGGCGAACCGCGCTTCTTTTTTGTACGACGTATATGGCAGTCTGACTGTGGCTTCGAGGTTCTCCAAAGGTTGCGGCCGGCGATTCCACGGCCGCGCGAGGTCTTCGATGATTCGCGTACGCCCGAACCGAGTCTTCCTCCTCGTATACGGTCCGGTAGCGGTAAATACAGTCGCCTCGCTCGACGTGCCCGGACGACCTTTCCGCGTAGAAAGCGAGCTCCCGCGCTTGGATGACCTCTCTTCAGAACTTGGCGCTTCGTTAGCCGCCCTGCCGCGTGTGCCCAGTTTGCCGGGCAGCAGCAGCACCGAGAGTGAAAGGACGACATTTATTCTGGGAGAGAGAGGCATTCCCCGTCGGCCTCTCTTCCGACTCCTGGGCGCCGGGGAGACGGAAAAGATTCCCGGGTCGGCTCATTACGAAGCACACGCGGCAATGAGCTGTGCCTCCTCCGTATTCGTCACGGGCGGCAGGCGCGGCGGGGCGACCTCCCCGACTGACGGTCTTCTCAGGCACGACTCCTATACACCGACGCGGTTCTCAGACTGGGATTTTCTCGTCAGCGGCGGTCTCGGATAGGATTCCGGCCTCCGTACTCCGTTTCGCCCTTTTACGGCTGAACCGCGAAGCCCGTAATACCCCGTATATATAAACGAACCATCGGAGCCAGTTCGATGCTGCGTGAGCGTCCCCTGACTGTTGGGAGAATGGCAGTGGTGCGCGGGCGCACGGTCACGTGATCTGTTGAGAGCGCCGGATTGGTTGACATGGCTCGTGGCATCCGCTGAGGTCCAACGTAAGGTGAAACGGGGTCTAGATTGGGTACGGGCAGCCGGTCTCCGACGGTGTTTCCTCGATGATCGGCGTAATGTTTCTTTTATATTTTGTTCGGCCATTGCCACTTTTATATACGTCGGTTCGTTGCCTATCGAAATATACGAGCGCAGTCGTATGTGGTGTGAAAGACCTCCAAAGGTGCCTCAAGGTGGCAGCGTACGTTTCGCGAAGAGACTTAGCCCTATGTTTCTTACCATAACGTTGGACGCTGTTTCTTTGTTTTTGTCTGAGAACTCCGGGCGTATTAAATTGTGTAGTTTCAGCTTGTAAGTCCTAATCCATAATCTGAAACTTATTAGCTAAAGAAAGTTCTGTTTCTAAGCGCAAATCGGTATTTCATCGGTGGTGGAGAACGATTAACCACAAAATGACAACAAAAATAATTAGTCCTTTTTTTTGTTTTGTTTTTCGGGGGGGGGGGGGGGGGGGGGGGGGGTTAAAATGTTAAACGTGGAAGCAAAGATCAAAGGTCCAAATTTGCAGATTAGTGTAGACTGCACTTCACTGTGCGCACCAACGGTTTCTTCTAGGCTTTTTTGTAAATTATTCGGTACTTTTGATCGAGTTTCAACATTTTCTGTTTCAATTTTACCGTCAGCTTACTTTTTTTAATCGATAGCCGAATGCAAACAGTGCGATACCGCCTCATTTTGTACGTATAAACGTGAATTACTCCGCAATGTTTTTATTTCCAGTTTCCGTAATTCAAACGAGCTATTAACCCGAGTAAATAGCTTGTATCTACTCTCGGTATTCTTTATAACTCCAAAGGACCACCCGATCTGAAGTTTTGAATGCGCGTGCCAACTGTGTTGGTATTGGGAATCCATAATGTTGCTTACCGATAAACTGTAATTGTGTTGTGTATGTTCATACAGCCGGAGGTTGGCCCCAATCGGCGTCTGGTGTCTCGGCTGTAGATGAGCAATTTAGCCATCGTAATACAACCATTAGTCTGGCAACGTGCAAAGCGCAGTACACTCTAAAAGAAAGCCTCTAAAGGAAGCGTATACTTCCTAAAGGAAGCGTATACTTTCCCGCACAACACCCGAATGACGATGCCGAAACATATGTTTAGACCAAAAAAACGCAGTCTGAGTTATTACATTAAGCAATGCAAGCGTGACGTTTTGCATTGGTTAATGTCACAACTCAGACTTCGTTTTTTGGTCTAAACGGCTCTACCACACTTCATCCCAAGTCGCTTCATCCCAGGACAGTTCATCCCAGACATATCATACCAAAGTCATTTCATCCCAGGATGTTTCACCCCTAGACAGTTCATCCCATGGACAATTCATACCACGACATTTGATACCAGAATAGTCCACACGGTCCAGCCGATTCAAGGGCTACTCACTTCATCCCAGGTCAGTTTATCCCAGGACTGTTTATCCCGGACACTTCATGCCAGAAACGTTCTATCCCGGGACGTCTCATCCCAAGACTCTTCATACCAAGGACATTTCAAACCTGGATACTTTATACCACAAAGTGTTCTGCCTAGAAGAAGTTATAAAATCGGTTTCGCACGCGCGGAGCCGACACATGCACTTCGTCTTTCTTCTATTGTCACCCGTGCCACGTAAGACCGTCCTGCAATTGGCATCGAGCTTCCATCAGTCGAACAGTCCAGCCGGCCCGACTCATTAATTGTCATCGAGTTTGTTTATAGAACATGGCCACCTTTGTGGCTTCTCGTCGAGGATCGCCGAAGCTCTGCTTCGAAGGTTACATGTACACCAAGCACAGGACCAACGACGAAAAGACGGCAAGGAGATGCGAGAAATTCCAGGAGGGTTGCCGGGGACGAGCTGTTACAGCAGGTGAGACGACCACTGTTACACAAGGCCATACTTGCCATCTACCGAGTCCGGAAAATGTCGCTGCGGCGCGTTTACAAGATGAGATCAAAACTGCAGCCAAGCGTTCCCACGACACCCCTCGGAACGTCGTCACCGCCTGCCTACAAGGGGCAAGACCGGCGACTATCGCGAAGCTCCCCAAGCTGTCATCACTGGAAAGGAAGGTGAACAGAGTTCGACGCGAAGCCCATGGCGCAGCTCAAGTTCCCCACCGAATCGACGACATAATTGTACCTGAACACCTGCGCATGACAAGAACAGCGCCACCTGAAGTATTTCTCGCAGGGTACACAGGCTGTAGTGACTGGGAAAGAATAATAATTTTCGCCTGTAACACGGACCTGTACCGTTTAAACACCTGCGAAACCTGGTTGTGTGACGGCACATTTAAAGTAGCACCAGAGATGTTTTACCCGCTTTGGGTTGTTCATGGCCTCTACAAAGGCAGGGTGCTTCTCCTTGTATACTGTCTCTTGCCGAACAAGCGCGAAGCGACGTACAAAAGAGCAACGCGCATGCTACTTGAGGCTATTGACGATGCCACTTCAAGCCCACGGCAGGTGCACACAATAGTGATGGACTTCGAAAAGGCTGAAGAGAATGCTTTTCGGGAATGCATTCCTGACGTCGATGTGCATGGATGCTTATTTCATTTCGCGCAAAGCATCTGGCGCCGAATTCAAGAGCTGGGCATGCACACGCGATTCATTGATGATTCCAGCTACCACCTCATCGTGAAGAAATTCATCGCACTGTGCTTCTGCGATGTTTTCGACGTCTACGACAGATATCGCATGCTCGCAAGACAGCTGCTGGACTTGTTTGGACGCACAGAACAGCACCAAGAGTTCCTAGACTACTTTGAGAATACCTGGGTCGGTCGACCCCACAAGAACCCAAGGTTCCCAATATCTATGTAAAATTGCAAGCGCGTGGCAGAGGTCAGCCTTCCCAGAACCAACAATAGCGTTGAAAGCTGGCACCGGGTATTTCAAAATTCTATCGGTGCATCCCATCCTACAGTATTCAAGTTGCTGGATTCGCTTCTCTCTGAACAAGTCCGTGTGAACGCGACGGCCATCCAGCTGGACGTGGGTCATGAGCCACCGCTGTACACGAAGAAGGAGTACGAGCAGTCTAACAAGCGTCTATGCCGGATCCTGGATGACTATAACAACAGAGACGCAGACAGCTTTCTCAATGCGTGCTCGTGCTATGTACTTAGCGATTCTTGAGTTTATTAGCCAGAATTGTGTGCTCTGAAGAGCGTATTAGCCCGAACTTTGGCCTCTTCTTAAGGTTTTGCTCTTATAAGTGGGTCATTGCAAAATAAACGCATTAATTTTTCATATTTCTGGTGAATGTTGTCTTGGAACGATACCTTTCGGGCGGTTTTCAAGTGCCATCAATCCCCAGTATTGCGGTTTGTTGCAGTATACAGCTTTCATTAGTAAATCTGACCATTGCAGCAGCATTGCAAATAGGGATTGAAGTAAGTGAATGAATGAGAGAGAAGAATACAAAAAGAGAAGAAAGGGCTCTAAGTGGGAATGGCCCGACTTTTGCTGAAGTCCAGTACCGAGTTGTCTGTGGGCACTCCTATGCACGCCCCAAAGTGACGTTCATTTAAGTGCTGCAGCCGGCGAAATGCGACCTTGAGATTTCTTCTTGCTCGAGCTCAGCAACTAGTGGGTGCCCCGAAATATTCTGGTATGAAATGCCTTGGTATTTAATGCCACTGGCATCGAACGTCTTGGAATGAAACATCTTGGGATGAAATGACTTTGGTATGAAGTGAACGGGATGAACATTCCTGGGATGACGTATCCGGGGATGAAGTGTGGCAGAACCACTCTAAAGTATGAAATATCCTGGCATGTAATGTTCATGGGATGAAACATCTTGGGATCAAACGTCTTGGGATAAAACACCTTTGGTATAAAGTGTCTGGGATGAAGTGTCCTGGGATGAAGTATCTTGGGATGAACTGAGTGGACCCCGGGCTAAACATATGTTTAAACCAAAATGAACCCAGGATCTGTTCTGCAGCGCGAGCTTTCGAACCACGAGCTGTAAGCATCAGTAAGCGGGAGATCGGTCACCGATCCCCCCTTACTGATGGTAAGTTCATTTAGTTGGTAGGCAGTTTTCATGTCTGTAAATAATTAAACATTCTGAAATTTGCGTTCTTGCTATATATACACATCAACAGCTTGGGTGCTTACTTTGCGCCTTATATTATTTACATTTTAATGGGAAGCTTAACGCTGACGTGTTACGTGTAATTTACGTATCTACCACCTCGAAATAGACTAGGGAATCCCACGCTGAAGTGTTAGTATAGCTTTAAAAAGGAAACGCATGCAAATGACATAAGAAATAAAGCACTTTGCTGTCCTTTCAGATCTGCAGCTGGTTTTCTTTTGATGAATTCGACACATTAACTCTGGGTGCCCGTGATTGTTGTGCATGGTGCGGTCCGTGTATTATTGCCCCTATCCGCCTCCTTTATGTGCTCTTCGACACGTACCTTGTGTGTTCGTGATTGTCTGTAAGATAACAACATGGGCATCTAGGCATATCTCTTTATATCACAGATGCTGATAATGTCGAATAATATTTTGGGCATAATTCGTCCAATCACATCTAGTCATATATCATGTAATACATCATTCAAATGTTCTTGAGAGTAATTAAACTTGAACTTGAACTAGATCGTCACGATCTTGTGAATCGGGTCCATCGGGCCATCTCTGAAAGGCTACCTAGTTGTGAAGTTAACTATGCCTCCATTGCCTGTCCAAATAATTTTCCTAGTATTATTTAGGATTCGATACTTAAATCAGGTCGCTTAGAAACTCGCTCTCGATTAGACAACCATATATCTCCGCCGTTTCCCCTTTGCTTTGGTTCTCAAAACATGAAATGTTTCTTGTATTTCTAGTGTTAGGTTGGTGAGACAGTGGCGCGTCTCAAAACAATTATCTACATTGAAATTTATATGGGCCTAAATTTTGTCTTGTCTGATATGAAAACTAAAAGCAAAAACACGCCTAAATAACACCATTTACTTCCAAAACACCTCAACTTCCGAAAGATTAATTGAGTCATTAGTTGGCACCACAACTCGAAGAGAAAACTTTTCGAGGGTCAACATTGTTCAAAACGCTTCCGCCGGTCTGCACGCCGTCAAGCATAGCGGCGTCTCTTCCTCAACGAGCCCTCCTCTCCCTCTTTTAATAATATTCCCCGAGACCTCGTTGCAATAAATGGAGTCCTCGTCCGTTCCGTCTTCATGCAGCGAGTCAAGCATCTTTTTTTCTTTTTTTCTTTTCGTGGGCATTTCGCCGTCGCACGATTGGAGTATTCCGACGGACGTGGCAATTTCCGCGGGCCTGCGTTCTCGCTAATGTCTGAGCGACGTGACGACGCTAGGCTGCGGCCGTTAAGGCAATTGTCTGGAAGTAGTTTACGACGCAGAATGCTCGACGGAATTCGTAAGCGCACGCGAAGCGAATTGTCGAAGAGAGCAAACGTGCCTTCGGTGCTGCATTCGCTTACGGCCAAACACTCAGTCGTCGACGGCGGGTGCGGATGATAGCTATGCGGATCGCGAACGTTAGTGGCCCCCTAACTACTTGTTAAGGAATCGCAGATGGTTCCTGTTCGCGAGTGCTGGTGGGCCCTTTTTGTAAGTTACGGCGGCTCCCAGTGATTAACTCAAGATTGAAGCGACGAGAGCGAGCTTCAACGCCCGCGAGGTATACTGACATCGTTATAGTGACTCTCTTTGTTTACTAGAAAATATTGAATATCTTGTAAAACACGGGCGAAGTTGATTCTTTATCTTTGCTCACTTTTGAACTCGGGTGGTATTGGGAAACGGATCCAGCCGTCCCACCCCTAGTGGCTAAATTGAAAACTACACCGATGGGAACAACAAAAGCATAGATGACTTGGCTGTGTTTTTGGGCGCGGCGCTCGGCCAACACCACATGGACTGACAGATCTCTCCGCTCTTTCTATGACGTCACGATATGAGCTCGGCCGCGCAGCAAAACAGGTGAAGGCTCTCAGCTTAGGCATACAGCAGCAGTTGTCGGAAGCTTTGTAACAGAAATCATCATGGCCAAGTATCATAAAGGCGATTGTTGTTCCAGACAAAACAGATAAGCCCACCACTCCTAGGGCTCCTGCTAATCATGCAGCAAAGGCAATGAATTCTCAACCATTAGCGCTGCAAAATCAGTCACCAGACAAGACCCTTACAGTGGTACGCCACCAGAAAATGTTTCTATTAAAAAGGATCAGAGAGCTTGTCCAGCGACTGCATCCACATCTCAGTCCTTCACAAACTGGCAATGTATACTCATGCCCCTTCTGCAAGCCATCCGTAGCTTAGTAGCGGACATGAACCTCCCGCTTGCTTCATTAGTATTTTAAGTCATCGATATGGCCATGCTCTTTGTGGCTGCGTTTGTGGAATGAGGAAGGTTTTCCAAAACATGCCTTCATCCACCTCGTCGACAAAGCACCGACATATCCCGCTGGTCATGCAATGAAACTGCGCAGGTCTAGTCTCTCAGTGTGTGAAGCCGGACTGTCAAATAGCCAAACCATCTCCGGCTGTGTGAAAAACTCAAATCCAACGATGAACGTCATCTTCTCCGGAGACTCGCAAGCCCGCCGAAAGACATCTTCAGACCCTTTTTGCGTTTTTTAAAGGATTCGGGACTATTAGCAATACTTTAGAGTGGCCAGAGCCAGAACAGGAACTGTTTGTGTTTGGTGTGTATCTGATCATTGACCGTCAGCTTTCATCCTCTTTCCTTCCTTTCTTCTTTCCTCTCTTCTATTCGCTTTCTGTGCTCTCTTGACATTGCCTTTTTTTTTTCGGACGGGCCATCGCTGGCGTCTCCCGCATGACAAGCTCAATCATCTTTACCATTTGGAATACCTCCTCCTCCTCCTCCCGGTTCTCCTCCTCCTCCTCCTCCGCCTCCTCCTCTTCCTCATCATCATCATCATCATCATCATCCTTTTCCAATCTTTGCCCCTCACTCAATCGAGAAAGATGAAGCAAAAAATCCAGTGCAGATGCCTTGTTTTTGGTAAACACAATACTCCGGTTTAAAATAACGTAGAACTAGCGACCCCTATAGTTCGATCTCCTCGCCAGTAACGATCGGAGTCATAGCTTCGCAGATTTAAGCATTTGTTTTCTAAGAATGTCTGATGTTAAGGTAATGTGGCCTAAGCCTGAGCTTTCCCTTTGCGCTCTACCAATCTTCCCTGTGTTGTTTGTACCCGGAACGTGATACGGTTATATGTTAGCAATTGTTTATAGGTTGGGTAATGTACTGATATGTGGATAACTTAAAAGGGCCCTGGACTTCAGTATTGAACCAGCCTGCCAGAAGAGCAACGTCGCTCAAAAGTAACAAATATTTGCAAAAGTTTCACTATCACAACGCATTTCTTATTATGGGGTTTCTTTCTTCACGTCATTCGGGTGATTTGGACTGCACTAGTTGGTTGTGTTTCATGCTTTGAACGGCGTTGCGAAGGATTACAAAAAAAAACCACTGGAACTAGGGAGACGACACGAGTCCACGACATATATAAGTAAACGCAAAGCGTTTACTTGGTCTTGTCGTAGTCCCAGTGTCGGTTTTGTCGTTTTTCGCAGCGCAGTTCAAATAAATAAATACGCAATAGCTTTTGTGAAACTATACATGACAAAAAAGCTATACATGACACTGCCGAGTATTGAGCACAGGACACCAGACAGGAAAAAAAATACAGACATACGCTTTTTCTTCTTCTTTAGTGCGCACGCAAAAGCGGCGGCGCAGTTCCCAAGATCGGTTCAGCCGCAGCGCACCGTCTCCATGTTCGATAAATGAAAGTTCAGTATCCC